ACAACTAGTCCAGGAATTCCGGAGTTGGAACACTCCTCCCAGAGGAGGGAGGGGCTGGAGATGGAGTTCAATCACCAAGGGCCAATAATTTAATCAGTCAGGGCTCTGTAATGAAGCGTCCACGAGCACCGGGAAGAATGGGGATCTGAGAGCATCTGGTTGGGGAACACCTGGAGATCTGGGGAGAGCGGTGTGCTCGGGGAGCCTGGGAGCTCCTTGCCCTTCCCACAGACCTCGCCCTGTGCATCTCTCCCATCTGGCTGGTCCCGAGCTGTATCCTTTGTCAGACCAATCGGGAGGCTGTGGCTAGAAATAAATGACAAAGACTTATTTATGCTAGGGCTTTGCAAATAGGAAACACAACTGGGCAAGGCCCAGGGTGTTCCAAAGAGGAAAGAAAAGCTGAGAGTTCTTATAGTAAAAAGTCCATCAGTCCTGCGTTCTGAGCCTCCAGACTGGTCTGAGACCGTGACCTTCCAGATGTCGCTGGTCTGAATAATAGGTGTGGATGGAAAAAAGGGATCTGTGGAAAGTAGCCTTGCTCTGCCAGCATGGCTCAGCCGTCGAACATCGACCTAGGATCCAGGAGATCGAGGTTCGATTCCCAAGCAGCGCACATGCCTGGGTTGTGGGCTCGACCCCCAGTTGGGGGCGTGCAGGAGGCAACCGATCAATGACTCTCTCATCATTGATGTTTCTATCTATCTCTTTCCCTTCCTTTCTCTGAAATCAATAAAAACATATTTTTAAAAAAATAAATAAAAGAAAGTAGCCTCACAAGGTGAGCTGATGATAAATTCCTAACTGGGCAGGTCCTGCGGGAAGTCACGCCCCAGGCCTCTAACTTTGTAGTAAAAGGTTAGTCTTGCCTTCAGCAAGCCCTCTTGCCCATTGTTTCTGTGCATCTAGATGAACACTCCTTTGAAATAAACCCGGAGCACGGGAAGAGGGCCAGAGAGCCGAGAATCTTGTCAACTACCCTGGAATCCAATCCCCGCCTTGCCCTGGGCCCCCTCGCGGGACCCTCCCTTCCTTCCCCTCTGAATCTCAAGAAGACACTGCAAAACCGTGGTCCTGGGGAGCGTCTGAGACCTCGCCCCCCAGCACATGTTGTCAGTTTGTCTCAAATAAACTCTTAGAAAAATTCTCTGCAGGGTTGGACCTTTCTGGCGTCGGCATGGACGTCTGGTGGCGTGGACAGGAGAACTCTTTTCTGAGTCCTTCAGAGGGCCATCTATAGGATTTACATATTTCTCCAGGCATGAGGCACAGCCCAGGGACAGGGCTGTGGGAACCCCCAATCTGTAAAAGTGCGATGACACCCTTTTTTCTAGTTTTCACAAACTACAAAGGGGGAGAGAGAGAGAAACGTTGGGGTGAGAGAGACGCATCCATTGGTTGCCTCGTGCACGCGCCCCGATCAGGGCCAAGGATCGAACCTGCCACCCAGGTCCACCCAGGTCCCTGCGCTTGACTGGGAATCAAACCTGAGGCCCTTTGGTCCACAGGCCGATGCTCTAGCCACTGAGCCAAAACCAGCCAGGGCAGCTACGAGCTTTTTTTACAATCAAATATCAATATTGGGTACGTCGAACGGTGGTGGTTGATGCCAATTCATCCCCAATTTGGGGGTGCGGTGAAGAAGTTAACTTTATGCAAAAACAGCTCAACCGTGATACAGCCCGGCTGAGAGGCAGCCCCTGTCCGGCTACGCGGCTCTGCTGGGCCCCTGGGCCGTCTGCTCTGCCCTGGGACCCCCAGCGTTTCAGCGCAGCCAGAGCGATGCAGCTTTCGCTTGGGTAGAGCACAACCCGGACTTGCGACTGGCACCGTCTGTTGGGGCGGGAGTGCGGGTGGTAGCTGTCTCCTAGGACCGAGCCCTTAACCTGTGGGAATTGCTCGGTTAACAGAGTTAATTGCTCGGTTGAGTGGGAAAAAACACACACCTGGGGACTGACGTCAGCATCAGAGCCTCTTACTCACGCGGGCCAAGTCCCCTTTGCTGGGCAAGGAAACACAGTGGCGGGCTCTGGGGATTCGGCGCGGATGCCTTTAGAGGGCCCTTCTACCATACATAGTTCTCATGCCTAGTAGTAACACTTTCCATTTAATGAAACGATAGCAATTGTCTTTTTTAAGTATTTTTTTCTTTTTCCGTAAAACAAGTGGATTCGACCTAAAGGATGCTGCAGACTGTGTCCTTCCCAAATGCATATTTCAAAACCTGACCGCCTGTGTGATGGTCTTAGGGGGTGGGGGTCTTTGGGAGGTGATTGGATCATGAGGGTGGAGCCCGTGTAAAAGAGACCCCCAGAGAGCCCTCTAGTCCCGGAAAGAAGACAGACGTCTACGAACCAGTAGCAGGTCTTCGCCCAAAATCCAAATCTGCAGGTGCCTTGACCTTGGACTTTCCAATATCCAGAGCTGTGAGAAATAAATGTTGTTTAGGTCTCCCAGACAAGGACGTGTTACGTAAACAGCATTCCGTAAATTCTTAGGTAGGAAAAAAACATAACAAAAACAAACCCGGTGACGCAGCCAGATAATGACCGAGGTCTGGGAAACTGAGGCCTGGGCCGGGAGGCTCCAGGGCCTGTCCCAAATCGGGAAGCGGCTGAAGTGGGAAGAGACGGGTCTGTTTGGTAGGTAGAAGGCCGGCCTCCCAAAGACCCATCAACAACCTTGTTGACATAACTCCGTGGAGTGGATCAAAGTAATCCCCTGACTGCCCCGGGTCAGTTCCCGCAGCTCCCGGGGGAAGTCACTCAGTGGATCCGGATCCTGTCAGCATGAAAGGCCTGGGGCTTGGGTGGGGGCTGCATCCTGGAAGCCGCTGCCCAAAACTGCTCCTCCCGACAGCCAGGCCAGACCAGGTGCCGCGGCGGAGCCATGGCCCCGGCGGAAGACCCCAGGGCCCAGAGAGCCAGCCCGCAAATCGTGGGCCTCGGGACAGATCTGGACACCAGCTCAGGTGAGAGGGGGCCGAGGGCACCTCGGCCCTGAAGACAGACCTGCCGAGGGGGCAGGGGACAGCTACCCTCCCTTGGGCGTGCCGGGATTTGCAAGCCTGGGGTGGGCTTCACTTTTATTTCTTGTACTAACCAACCTAACGGGACATAGACTTCCTCCTGGGCCTGTGTTGCTTAGTATTTGGTTAACTCGAAAAGTTACTTTTGTTGTTGCTGTTAATCCTCACCTGAGGACATTTTTCCATCGATTGTTAGATTTTTAGAGAGAGAGGGAGGGAGGAAAGGAAGGGGGAGAGAGAAATAGAAACATCGATGTGAGTCATTGATCAGCTGCCTGCTGCAGGCCCCCTACTGGGGATCAAGCCTGAAACCCAGGAATTGAACCGTGATCTCCTGGTTCATAGGCTGACGCTCAACCACTGAGCCACACCGGCTGGCAGGCGGAGGTCTTCATAGGGAGGGAGAGGCAAAGCGGAACCAAGAAATCAAGGGCAGGGGGTTGAAAAGCTCTCTACGTGCAGGCGGCACAGCCGGTTCCCGGAAGGACCTCGGAACTGGCCGAGTGACGTCCGGCCTGCGTCAGCCTGGTTCTGCGGCTGAAGGTCAGCGCATCTGGAGCTGGGGTGAGGAAGGTCAGAGTCTGCATCTTCTGAACTTAGTTCCTAAGTTAGATTTTTTTTTTTAATCCCCACCTGAGGATATTTTTTCCATTGCTTTTCGGAGAGAGTGGAAGGGAGAGAGAAACATCCATGTGTGAGAGACACATCGATGGGTTGCCTCCCGAGTGAGCCCCGACCGGGGCCGGGGATCGAGCCTGCCACCGAGGTATGTGCCCTTGGTTGGAATCGAACCCAGGCCCCTTCTGTCCGATGGCCGGCTCTCTAACCGCTGAGCCTCACCGGCCAGGGCAGTTCCTAGGATTCTTCTAGGAACATGCTGTTTGTCTACAGGCTACGTATTAGCCAGAGTCGGCACTTACAGAACCATATCAAATGGACAGGGGGGTGGGTTCCAGTTTTTTGCTATCACACAAAGAGGAGCTGCTCTGAGGTCTCTGCGCCCCTGGGGGCAGATGGCTGATCGAGGGAAGCAGGACTGAAAGCCAGGCCTCTCTGAGGCTGAAGTCATGTTCTTAGTCTCCCCTCTTCCCCTCCATGTGTGTCAACCAGCACACAGTCAGCCCCTGTGGACTGAACGAGCTACTGAATCAACAGATAAGCTAACAGGGCCACATTCCTCGTGCTAACGCGACCTTTGGTCCTTTCCTTCCTTCTAGGTGGGGAGCGGGCCCCCAGTCTACAGGCCATCCCCACAGCTCACCTCACTTTCATCGTGGACTGTGCTCGTGGGAAGCAGCTCTCCCTGGCCGCACCCTCAGTGCCACCCCCAGCCCCCAGGCCCAAACTGGAACCTGTCACCCCTCCAATGAAGACCTATATCTTGTTCTGTGGGGACAGCCAGCCCCACCTGACTCAGGAGGCCTCCCTGGGTGGGGGGCACCTTGCTCAGGCCAGGGGCACCCTGCCACCCTGCAGAGGGACTGTTGCCCCAGCTTCCTCCCCAGTCAGCCCACGGTGGCCCCAGGAGGCTCCTGAAGCCAAGGGGAGCCCCTTGAAGACGGTGCTCACAAGGTCGGCTTGGGAGAGAGTCACGGGCTCCCTCAGAGCTGCCTCCTCCTGTGTCTGTGGGCAGGCAGATTAACCGAGGAGCCTGGCCGTGGGAGGAGGGCCCACACCGGGCTCAATGTCGGGGGGCTGCAAGTCCCAGGGCCCACTGCCGCTTCCCAGGGTCTGCAAAACGCCAGGGAAAACACTGCAGCGTTCCTGGAGCTTACATTCTTGGGGTGGGGGGAGGGGAGGCAAGTGGGTTCAACAGACAAATAAGTAAAGATGACTCTTAGCAGTGACAAAGCGAGCGCTGTGCAGAAATGGAGTCTGGGCGCCGGGACCGAAGTGATTGGGGGGCACAGAGCTTTCCTGGTGCGGTGGCTGGGAAAGGCCTCTCCGAGTGCGTGGCAATTAAAGTGTGATCTGAACAGTGAGAAGGAGCCAGCTCTGCGAACCACCCTCTCAGGGCCATTGGCTGGCATCTCGTCCCAGGGAGGCCCGAGCGGGGTCAGGATGCCCAGCACCACCAGCCGGGGCAGCACGCTGGCTGCTGCCCTCTTGGCTCACCTGCGAGTAGATAGGTCACCCAAGGGCACGAGACACAAAACGGGGAGAGTCAAGAACTTAGGTGGGACCCAGCAGCCTGAAAGGAAGTAAAGGGAACCGGCTTCTCAAGAGGGAATGGAGTCTCCTGTTTGAACAAGTAAAATAAGAGAGATTATTTATTGAGCATCTACTGCATACCAGTCTCATGCTGCACCCCAGAGATAGAGAAAAAAGGGGGGGGATTCTGCTCCATGGGCCGCCCTGTTCCCCAGCAGGAAGTGTGGCCGCGTGTGTGTGCGAGGGCGTGTGTAGGCCCAAGAGATGCGCAGCACTGTGCGTGTCACAGTGTCAAGGCTCTCAGGTTAAAACTGCTGAGTGCTCACTTATTTATTCAGTGACCACTTTTACTAGATTCCTACAAACATTAGGAGCTGATGTGTATCCACCACTTGCTCTGTGCCAGGGAAACAGCATCCTCGCTGTGCCAGTATGGTGATGCACTATTTTTGTACCCATTTCACAGATCAGGGAACTGAGGCACAGAGAGGTTGAGGGACCCACTCCAGTCCCCATGGACTGGTACAGTTCGAATTAGAGCCTGGGGAAGCCTGGTGCTCAAGTTCTTGCCCCTAACTGTAGGGCCAATGGCCTCTCATCCTAGGAAGTTCTCTCAGGCAGAGGGATCCAGAGAGAACAGACGTAATCCTGTCCCCCCGGAGCTCACAGCCTGGTGGGGGAGCAAGAAAGGTAACTGTTGATTGCCATGGCCTCTCATAAATGCAATAGTAAGGGCAGACAGAAAGTGGTTGGGCCTGGAGGAGGGTACCGAGCCCATTCTGGGAGAGGAAATCCGGGAGGGCTTCCTGCAGGAAGTGACATCTAAGCTAAGATCTGACCAGTGAGTGAAACAAAGGCAAGGAGACAGGGGTGAGTAGTATTCCAGGAAGGACCAGAGTCATTCAGTCTGGCTGGAGTACCCATTCATTCATTCATTCATTCACCAAGTGTTTAGTGGGTGCCCACTGTGTGCCAGGCTCTGGGCTAGACGCTGGGATGGAGCAATGATAAGACAGATGGACCCCACCATGAAGGTGCTTATTCTCTGGCACAGCACACAGGGGAAACAAAGATGGGTGGGGGGCGCCAGAGGAGTGGTGGGGCTGAATCATGGGAGGCCTTCGGGCCACAATGAGGTCTTTTGAGTTTATTCTGAGATGGGGACCTCTGGAAATTGTGAGCAGAGTGACACAACCAGACCTACCTTTTAAAAAACTTCCTTGTGCTGGGATCAGAAGTTTAGGGGGCTGCACCTGAATTCAGGCAATGGGGGGATGGTTTGAACTAGAGGGGTGGTGACAGAATAATCTGGACCATGCAGGGCCCTTCCTCTCTTCTCTTGGGTAAGAATCACTGGACTAGGGAAGCTGGAAGACAACTGGCGAGGAAAACGGTGAGGCCTGTGGCCGCATGTGTATCTTTTCACCAGCAGGTGTCGCCCTATCATCAGACTGGAGGACACCCGGGTCCCACCTTGGGGGGTGGAAGGTGGAAATCTGCTGAGCATGGAGCCAGAGCCCTGGGGCCAGCGGCTCAGGGGGGGGCCATGTTCTCAAAATCCAAACTTCCATTCTAATCAGCACCCCTTTCATCTATAATCACGAGTACTGATGTTTTTCTGTGCACCACAGGCCACCTCAACTTCCTTTCATACCAGACCTCTGGGGTGGGTACGATTTTTATTGCCATTTTACAGATGAGAAAACAGGCACAGAGGGATGAAGTGATGTGCCCAAGGCCACCAACTACACACCTGCAGTCACAGCATCTGCCCCGAGCTGTGCTGGAGGCACTCTGGTCACACCTGTTGAATGAATGGAGCCAGCCTAGGGCCTGGCAGCGAGTGGGGAGTGTCTGGGGGACTGAGCAGGTGAGCGGGCCCTCACTGAGATGGGGCACGTGTTTAGAGCATTTGTATAGGAGTTTTATTTGAACCAAACGGATGACATTGCCGGGAAGCAAGCTCTCAATGCTCCAGTGAGGCCGTTTTCACCTGGAGCCAGAGCTGCCATGCAGAGCCTCGGGCAGGTTAAAACAAGGCAAACTAACCTTGGGATGGAGCCAAAAGCAAACCTACGCCCCAAAGAACTGTTTGCAGACAAGAAAGCCGATGTTATTGGTAGCGGACTGAAAATTAAAACATTCTTTAGAATTAACATCTCTATGTTTTCTGCCCGTATAGAAATGCCTTCCTTCCACTGATGTAATTGTCCCCTTCCCTTCTCATAAAAAAAAAAAAAAACCCTACCTTTGTTTCTTAATCAGAACATTATTTGGGTTTCTGCCTGAATCAATGCTTCATGAATAACTATTCGTTTTTTAAATTAAAAAAAAGGTATAATTTTTTAACATTGATTTTTTTTTTTTTTTTTTAGAGAGAAATAGCCTCCTGCACACACCCTGACGGGGGATCAAGCCCATAACCCAGGCATGTGCCCTGACTGGGAATTGAACCAGTGACCTTTTGGTGCAGGAGATGCTGCTCAACCAACTGAGCCACACCAGCCAGGGCCTGAGTAGATATTCTTGTTGATCTCAAATAGATGCCTGTTGCCTTTCACTTCGAAAGGCCTTTTTGGTTTTAAGTTAGTCCCCGGTGCCTTCAAGTGCCTGGCCTAGGAGGTGGTCAAGAATTGTGTGAGAGGGGAGGGAGGGAGGAAGGGAGGGAGGAAGGGCAGATTGACCATCCTGCCCTCTCCCCTCTGGCTCCCTGGGGCCAGCAGCTCTGTTTGTTGCCCTTTGGGGAGGCACCCAGAGGGCTTCCACCCGGTCTAGTAGCCCCTAGACTCCCCTGGAAGGCTGTCGCTGGTCCAGGCCCTAAGGGGACCGGCCTGGCCGGCCCTGGCAGTGAGCCCCAGGCCAGCTGTGCTGACAGTAAACACACCCCCGCCCTGCTCAGAGGCTCCCGCCTTGGTTACCCATCCAGCCCACTAAAGTCACCGGGCCCCTCAGGACCCTGCCTTGTTTGAGGGCAGAGCCCGGTGGGTAGAACCTTGGTTTTCTTTGTTCAGAAAACAAGAGCTGAGCATTTATTGAGCTTATACTAAAACATCACCTCTCCTAGGTTCCTCACAGCTGCCTGGGAGGGTGCCCCACCTGGGAGGGTGCCCCACCTGGGGGGGTGCCGCCTGTCTCTGTTTATGGATGAGGGAACCAAGGCTTCCTAGGCCTCCCTCCCCGCGTCCACCCCTGGCCCGCACAGGCTCCCCTGGGAGGCCAGGGAACCTTCTAGCTCTGCCCTCACCTGCTTTTCCTGGAGAGAAGACCCCAGGTTCCAGGGCAGCCCCTCCGGCCCTCCGGCCCACATCTTGGTCTTGATGGCAGCAGGGAGAGCGTGGGGGAAGCTGGGGGTGTCGGGGCCCAAATCTGTGTGAAACGACAGCATTGGAGCCCCAGGGGCCTCCCAGGGCACGGCGTCCGTGGGCTGCGTCACTGCCGAGCGCCGAGGTTTTCACGCACGTTACGAAACAACTCGAGAGAAAAACACACCGCAACCCGAGCAGGTAGATCCTATTAGCACCACTGACCGTGGCACAGAGAGGTTAAGATACTTGCTCAAGATCACACAGTGCAGAAGCCGCGGAGCCAAGATTTGAACCCAGGTCCTGTGGCTCCAGAGTTTGCGAAGGACCCTCCTCTCTTTACTGAGGCTTGTTAGCGTTTTCAAAAAACTCCTGCAAACATATACTTAGCTGCTTTCCCAGGCTGGGCTTGGGAGCGAGAGGAAAGAATAGGGGCTATTCTTCTGCTCCCGCAGAACTGGGATCCAAGGCCGGCAGGGGGTGGGCGGGTGGAGAGGGGCGCTGTGGGGTGCAGTGTGGAGGCGGGGCTTGCCTCTGGCCAGGGAAGGGGGCCGTGAGGAAAGGGGAGTTGGTCTGGTAGAGGGTAGAGAAGCCCTGGCCTGAGGTCATCATTCCATCTCTGCCACTGACTTGCTGTGTGACCCCGGGCATAGCCCTCCCCCTCCCTGGGCCTCAGTCTCCCCATGGTACCATAAGGCATTTGAACTGACTCCCCAAGGGGGCAGGGCTGGCCAACCAAGTGGGTGAGGCCCCAGGGTCTGCCCCTCTACCCCCAAGTGCTCTTGTTATCTGAGTCTGAGTTTCTGTTGAAGACAAGGTGTGGGTCTAGGGTTCTTTGGGTCCTGTCTGTGACTCTGACCTGGTAGCTCTGGAAGGCTTTCTGGGGGAGGAGGCTTGTGGACTGGGCGAGGTCTTTAAAAGCAAGGGAACCTCCTGGGTCCTCCGCACCCCTCGGGGTCCGACAGCGCCCACCCTGGATCTTCTCACGGGTCTCTAGCTCTGGAGGGTGCCATCTTTTCCTCTGCCTCCTGCCCAGACCCCACTCCAAAAACTATAAGATGTACAAGCCCCCTTTCCTAACAGGAGGCCAGGAGGGGGCAGGGGAGTTGCCTTGGTAGGACCCCTGGTGGTGGGGGTACTGATCTGGGGCACACGGCTGTCTAGAGCCACAGCCAAGGACTCGGATCCCAGCCAAGCCACTTCCAAGCTGGGTGACCTTGGGTGTGCTGCTTGACCTCTCTGAACCGAAATGTCTTCCTCGGTACCCACCTCCCGGGATTGCTGTGGGATGAGCAGTGTGCCTGGCACACTCAGGGCTCTCAATGAATGGGCTGCTATAATTATTCTGCACAGGGTGGGGGCAGGGCCCAGGGCCCCCAGCCAGGCCTATATTTAGCCTGGAGAGGGTGGGGGGCCCTAGGAGACAAAGCCCAGCAGCGAGTCCGGGCCCGGGGCGGAGTCAGTGAGAGAGCCCGCCTCCCCTCATCCCCGCCCATCCTTCCACAGGGTCACCTTGGCTGGAAGGCTCAGCCTGGACGCATCCAGTCCCAGCAGCCGCTCTGTCTGTCCTCTGTGAGACCCTCATCCCCCAAACCTCCGTCTGGGGAGGGGGCTGCTGGGGCCCGGGGGTTGGGGGTGGAAAGTATTCGGGCCCCATTGGCCACGTGGGGAGCTGACCCTTTTCCCAGCCGGGGCTGCCATAGGCTTAGCTCACTTCAGCCCGGCCCAAGGTGGGGGGGCTTTGCTGGGGTCCCCAAGCCAAGGTGAGCCTGACCCCGCAGGTGGGAGTGGAGGAAGAGTGGGGGCTGGCCGGGCTCCTCCCCCGGACCCCGGGCTGATGAGTGTTGGGCTGCAAATAGCCCAGTGGAATCAGTGAGTCACAGCAGCTGGAAATACTGCCCACTCTCCCTCCTCCTGCTCAGCTCGAGCTGCAGGCCCAGCGCCCGGCCCCATGATTTCAGGAGCACCTGGTGGGTGTGGAGTGTGCGTGTGTGGGGTTCCTCCAGAGAGCACCCCGACTCCCTGAACTAGCCAACACCCCAGCTAGGTTCCAGTCCGGCTCTGCCCCAGGGCCTGTGTGACCCTGGGCCAATCACTCAGCCTCTCTGGTCCTCACTGGCCATGTGGTGCAAGGAGGCAGGGACGTGGTGCAGCGGACCCACCCTTGGCCCTCCTGTGCCCGCCTAGTACCAGGTGATGGCTGGCAGTGGGAAGAGAGGGCACTGTGAGTTTCCTCACAGGCATACTTCTGAGTCCTGCCTCTGGGAGCCAAGGGAGGAGGCCAGAGGATGCCCACATTTCTGTGAGGTCGCGAGCTCTGCTGGAGCTATCACCCACCCCCCAGTCTCAGGGAAGGCACGTCTGCTTATCCTGGGGTTTCCCACCAAACCCACCCCAAGTCTGAGAACTGCAGGCAGGTGGGCTCCAGAAGTCTGTGACTGTCATTTATTATGTGTGCAGGGTACAATGCGAGGACCCTCCCATGCCCTCCTCCCCCCAGTTATCCCCTAAGGGCCCCAGAGTGGCAGGGGTGAGAGGCTACCCCACAGAGAGCAGGGACTGGCTCTGCCATTTGCCCCAGGGGACCCCCCTGACTCAGTGGGAACCACCCCTCCCCTTACCCCTGTTTTTGGATGTGGAGACTGGGCCAGGATCATTTTGGGCAGCTGAGGCTCCCCAGAATGAAGGCTGCTTGGAGGTCCCTGCGCTGGCCTGGGGACTGGGAGGGAACTGAGTTGGGGGGCAGTCTCCTGCAGAAAGATGTGGGGACAGGGGGCAGTGGGCAAGAGAGGAGAGAGGGGAACTACTTCCCAGCGCACAGAGGGGCGGGGGCGGTTTGAGGGCAGCTGCCGGCTCCCTGGGTTCATGTCCACCCTTCAGTGAGCAAGTGGGGCGCTCAGAGACACAGTGGCCCCACTGATAAAAACAAAGACTGAAATCTGATTTTAGAACGTTCTGAATTTGGACTCAACCAATGGCAGTGCTTAGGATCTGAAGGACGGGGTGTGTGCCAGGTGGTCCACACACCGGACCCTCAGGTGCAGGGATTGGGGGGGGGATGGTGGAGGCGGCTGCCACCGGGAAGGTTGTCCCGACGCCGGTCTGACCTTGAGACCCAGAGCCCCACCCATGCTCTCTCCCCCTTCTGCTGGGTGATCCGTCTGCGTGGAGGCAGCCCCGGGAACCCAGGCCGGGGGCGGGGTGGGGGCGGGGAGGACCAGCCCTACCTCCGCCTGGCCGTGCCTGGGGGCGTGAGCAGGTGACAGGTGGCCGGAGTTTCACACAGTGTATCACCAACCAGCTGCACTGGAAAAACCCATCTATACACACACGACGCGACCCTGCCCTGGCGCAGCTGGGGGGCTGGGGGCACCCGGGGGGCAGGCAGCTGGTTTGGGGCTTAGAGAGTGGAAGAGGGGAGGTTTCCCTCAGGACTGTCTCCTGGCCCCCCTGTACCCCTGGGTCTGCCTGTGCCTCTCTTGCTCCCCTCAGCCAAGGGGGATCCAGGTCCCCTTCCCCACTCATGCCCTGCAGAGACTCCATAGAGCAAAAGATCTGTTTGTCTGTCTGTCCTGCAGATTGTTTGCCCAGAGACCCGTTCTCGGGGTCTTTCCTTCCCCTCGCAATCCCTTCATTCTGGATTAAGTGAGAGGCCACACCTGGAATCTGGGGCTGCAGGTGGGCAAGGGGTCCCTGTCCTGGCAGAGCAGAGGCCTCCGTTTGGGGTGGGGTTGACCCACCTGGGGTCCCGGGGGCGTCAGGGCTAGGGCCTGGGCTGAGATGTCCTGGCAGCTGTCATGGGGAGTCAGGGAAACTCTGGCAGGCCAGTGGGGAGAAGGTGGGGTC